AGAAAGAAAAGAAAAGAAAGAAAGAAAGAAAGAAAGAAAGAAAGAAAGAAAGAAAGAAAGAAAGAAAGAAAGAAAGAAAGAAAGAAAGAAAGAAAAAGAAAGGGACAAATGACTTTATTTTTTGGTCTGAGTCTGGGACTTGAACTTGGTACCTGCCACTTTTGCTTATTAGCTAGTGCTGTACCAACTAAGCTAAACCTCTAACCCCTGACAAATGACTTACAGCCCTAAATATACATACATATATATATATATGTTATTAATCAATACGTTTCTCCTTTAAGAATATCTTCTTTAGCCAGGTGCCAGTGGCTCACTCCTGTCATCCTAGCTACTCGGGAGGCTGAGATCTGAGAATCAAAGCCAGCTTGGGTAGGAAATACATGAGACTCCTTTTTTTTTTTTTGATCCGGTCGTGGGGCCTGAACTCTGGGCCTGGGCACTGTCCCTCAGCTCTTCAGCTCAAGGCCAGCATTCTATCACTTGAGTCACAGCACCACTTCCAGCTTTTCTGCTTATGTGGTGCTGAGGAATCAAACCCAGGGCTTCATGCATGCAAGGCAAGCACTCTACCACTGAGCTACCTACCCAACTCTCCATGAGACTCTTATCTCCAATAAACCACCAGAAAACCGGAAGTGGTGCTGTGGTTCAAGTGGTAGAGCGCTTGCCTTGAGCTGAAGAGCTGAGGGACAGCGCCCAGGCCCAGAGTTCAGGCCCGATGACCACCACCACAACCGCCACCACCAAAAAAGAATATCTTCTTTGCCAGGTAATGTGGCAGTAATGTAAGGTACACACAAGGAATATATTTATATTATCTTTCTTTCTGAATCATTTCAGGGTAAGATGTAGATACAAAGGCCTTTTCAGTGTGTGTGTGTGTGTGTGTGTGTGTGTGTGCGTGCATGCACACACACGTGCATATGTGTATTTGGTAATTGTTTGTTTTGAGACAGAGTTTTACTATGTAGACCAGGTTCCTCCTGCCTCAGTCGCCCAAGTGCTGGGATTACAGATGTGTTATCACACACAGCTTCTTTTCTGTTCTGAGACAAGGGTCTCATTGTGTTGCCTGTACTGATCTCAAACTCCTGGGCTGAAAGTAATGTTCTTCCTTCAGCTTTCTGAGAAGAGCAGATGAGTCTACAGGCACACTTCATCCATGTCCCTATTTCTTTTTAATTATTTATTTTTTATAGTTTTTATAAAGGTGATGTACAGAGGGGTTACAGTTACCTAAGTCAGGTAAAGAGTACATTTCTTTTTGGACAATGTCACCCATTCCCTCACTTTCTCCCGTCCCTGCCAACAAGTGGTACAGTTAATTTCAGTGTCTATTTTGGAGCTAGAAAAGATTATTTAGAATCCTTCTAAATAATCCTAGTTCAAATAAAAATAAGGAATTCAATCTACTAGATCTAATTTAGGTTGTATCAGCAGTTGGAATAATATCCTGTATAGCTGTAAAAAGGAACCTTATCCATTGTCATCTATTTTTTGCAGATAAAATGTGCCCTCTCAATTCTCAGTGTGGTTTCTCCAGCCCTCTTGTGCTTGACAAATATCCATGTACTCTCTATTCACACCTCTTAATCTTTCCACAGTAGTTCTAACATTAATTTTTGTGTCTAACATTAGAAGTGCTATAAGCATATAACAGTAAACTTGCTACCAATGATAGACAGCAAATGCTGACATTAGTTTCTAGATTTTAGCTTATGTTGGTAGCTACTTAGTAACAAATACTGTGCTTAAATTAGGGTAGTGACTTTCTTGTTATTCAGTGTTCCTTTTATTAATTAATATTACATTGGCCTTATAAGTCAAGGCGTGTCAGTAAAAGTTTTACTGGAGGTTCTGGGCTATGTTAATTTTTTTTTTGTCAGTCATGGTGCTTGAACTCTGGACCTGGGCACTGTCCCTCAGCTTTTCAGCTCAAGGCAATTGATCTACTACTTGAGCCACAGCACCACTTCCAGTTTTCTGGTGGTTAATTGGACATAAGAGTCTCATGGACTCTACTGCCCAGGCTGGCTTTGATCCGCGATCCTCAGATCTCAGCCTCCTGAAGAGCTAGGATTACAGGCATGAGCCACTGCTGCCCAGGTTTGGCCCATGCTAATTTAACCAAATCTTTTCCAGCATTCTGGAGAAAGCCCAAACATGTTTATTTTGGGGGGTAGGGAGAGTTTATTATTTTGCTAACAACAATGCCTTGATTCCCTCAAATGATTACTTTTTATGAAAAAAAACAGTATGTCGCTACAGTTCCACAAAAGAAACATGCAAAATGAAGACTGATGTAGCTGGGTTCCAGTGGCACACATCTATAATCCCAATTACTCAGGAGGGTGAGATCTGAGGCATGGCTAGACGCCAGCTTGGGCAGACAAATGCAAGAGACACATCCAAATAACTAGCAAAAAACCAGACATGTAAGTATAATTCAAGTGGTAGATCATAAAAAGCTGACTGTGTATACAAGGCCCTGAGTTCAAGCCTCAGTACATATGCATGCATGTGAGTGCACATACACACAAAGATGACGGGCAGAACAGCCACTAGTGCTGCAGGGTTCCAGCTCTTCTGTGGGGACAGCATAAGTCAGACTAGTGGTTGAACCTGGAGGTGCCAAAGAAGCTAGCCGTGGGGCCCAGAACAACCACCATGAGACTCCCCAGGGCACATGCAGTCTGTGGGGACAGCTCCTCTCAAGTGTTATCTCCAGAAGAGACAACGGGGACGTTCCCCAAGACTTTTCTCATTATTTATATGTTAATATATTTGTAAACTTATGTACAGCTTTTTTGGAGGGGGGAAAGGGGGTTTAGAAACTAGAAATAGAATCATTTGCTGTAATGTTCAAATGGCAAATGGTCAGCCACACATCTAGAAACTGTCATGTAGCTGTTGCCTTCCTTATATGGTGGTAGCTGCCCCAGAGAAGTACCATCCCAAGGAATAAAAGCTGTGGCTGCATCTTGCTCTTACTTGCATGAGATTTCTTTGAAAAGATGCTGCGGCCTCACTGATGAAGGTGTCCTTGCACTTGCACTCAACTGCCGGCTGCTGAAGATCATTGACTTAGGTGGATGCTTGAGTATTACTGACATGGCCTTACATGCTCTAGGACAAAACTGTCCCTTTTTGCAATGCGTTGACTTTTCTGCCAGCCAGGTCTCTGACAGTGGTGTGCTTGTGTTGGTTAGTGGACCATGTGCTATGAAGTTAGAGGAGATTCACATGGGGCACTGTGTTAATCTGACGGATGATGCTGTGGAAGCTGTTCTTACCTACTGTCCCCAGATATGCATATTGTGCTTCCATGGATGCCCCCTGATAACAGATCATTCACGAGAAGTCTTGGACCAGTTAGTAGGCCCAAACAAACTAAAGCAAGTATCGTGGACTGTGTACTGAGGTTATGGAAATTTGTCAAACAATGAAAGCTGGACTCCGCTTTACAGATAGGGTCAATAGATATCTGCTGCCCACTTAATTTAGCATTGCTTCATGACTATTGTGTTATTTAAGCTATACTCTCAGAGAGTAGACTAAATCCCCATGATAGTAGTTTGTGCTGTAAAGCTAGCCAGATTCCTAAACATGTTACTATGACTCTGAGTCTGTATTTGTTTGATAAGTATTTATTTATAAAATGTTCATCCTGATATGAACTCAGGCTGAGAAAGAGACTGTTTTGTGAAGTAAAAAAGTTTCAAATGATGTTTTCCCTTGAAATGCCCTCCTCTGTAGGTATTAGAGCTGTTCTGAGATGTTAACTGGTACAAATAAACCTTAGAACTCTTTGAAGTAAAGATCTTTCTAAAGGCAAAAAAACAAAAAACAAGAAACTGTCATGTAGCCGAGCTTCTGTCCTGGGCATAGGAGCCCCAAGAAGTGCCCTGTACCGTTGTGTCTGAAAGGGCAGCGTAAAGGGGAGGAATCATAAAAAAAATAATGTAGTCATAGATGTATATGGATTTAATGTGACATGTCTCCTGAACATATTGAAAAAAATACTACTTTAGAACAAGATCATCATAGTAATTAACTTGACAGATCTGCCTGTGCCCTGATAAGTCTTTTGTTGTTTATTAAAGATAGGTCCTCAAAAATTAATGCACATATCGATAATCTTTCTACATGAGCAACCATGATATTTCTTTTGTCAGTTGTGGGGCTTGAACTCTGGGCGTGGGCACTGTCCCTCAGCTCTGTAGCTCAAGGCAAGCTCTCTACCACTTGAGCCACAGTGCCACTTCCGGCTTTTTCTGTTTATGTGGTGCTGAGAAATCAAACCTGGGGCTTCATGCATGCGAGGCAAGCACTCTACCACTAAGCCACCTTCCCAGCCTAACCATGACATTTTTTTTGCCAGTCCTGGGGCTTGAACTCAGGGCCTGGGCTTTGTCCCTGAGCCTCTATGTGCTCTACCACTTGAGCCATAGCGCCACTTGTGGTACTGAGGAATTAAACCTGGAGCTTCGTGAATGCTAGACAAGTACTCTACCACTGAGCCACATTCCCAGCCCAACCATGACATTTTTAACTGCTTCATACAGACAGCTATGACCAGTACTAGCATTAAGTTGTGAAAGAATTTAGTTCAAGTCTTGAGTTCAAGCCCCATTACTGGTACACAAGAGTTAGCTATTGATAGGAACCAATTATTGTGGCTAGTATTTCTCAAATGACTTAGGTAGAAATTAAGATTTTTTTCTTGAAGTATTCAGACATCATAAGTTTAAGATATACTTCTTGGAGACCAGTAGAGTGAAACACACTCTACTGTTTTATGTGAAAAGGAAAAATGGAATGCATTACTAAATAAGAACAAAACAGAGATGTTCACTGCAATTCTCATTTTTCTTAAGTGCGGAGGATGGAACCTAGGTCCTTGTACTGTTAGGCAAATGCCCCATCACTGAGCTCCACTCCAAGCTCCATAAATCCCATTTGTTTCAAGCTAAAAAGTATATATAACCTATTTAAACATTTGTCAGGTGATAGGCATGGGGTTTCCTTCCCCCAGCATAAAGATTAGATGCCAGATCCTAGCATCCACATGTGGCCAATATGGCACTGGCCAGAACTGACCTCCTTACTTCACATTGACTACTATTTCACTGCCACTGCTTAATTTAGGTCTCATCATCTCTCAGGAGATACACTTCTAATGCATCCCCCAGAAACATAACCATAAAATGTCCATGTAAACATTTCATTTCCCTCTATTGTTTACAGGATACCACACTCTTTCCTCTGCACTGTATAGTACACAAGGCCCTGGTGAAGGAGTTCCAGAATAAACTCCCCTAGTTCTTTTAATAGTACTCCCAGCTTTCCACACCCTAAACATTAGGCCAATGAACCACATTTCTTGGAATTCCAGGAGAGGCACTTTCTGGTTTGACTTTCCCTGCCTGTTCATTCCACTTCCTGGGTAAAGAGCTTTATCTTTTCTTTGTCTAATGAATAGGAATGTCCTTTCAACTTCTATCTTCCTTTTGGGACTCCTATCCTCATTCTTTTTTTGTGTGTACAGTATATCGTCAATCTTCTATAATAGCACTGCTAACACTTGATTTTACTTCTTTGATCTGTACTGTGTTGTCCTAATAGATTGCAATCTCTCTGAGGTCAAGGACAATACATTATTCACCTGTGTATCACCAGCTTCAACATTATTGTGCATCTGGCCCATAGAAAACCTTCTGGCAATACTGTTGAATGGAAAACAATTGTAATCAGAATCTTGTAGATAGCCACTGTCCAAACAGAAACTGTCAGCCACATATATATTTAAGTTGTACTTAATTAAAATTGGATAAAAATTTAAAAATCTCAGTAACACTATATTATAAATGGTCAATAGCTACATATGTATGACTACCATACCATTGCAAAAGGTTCTAATAATGATATAATTATTTCTTCTATTAGTTCAATGCAAATAACATTTTTTACCATATGCTAACATTTGTCTTAGACAAATTTGTCTTGGACAAAATATGATTGATATGACTATTAGTATTTTTGAACAAGTCATTAAAAATCTACTCAGGAGACTTCTAGAATAAGATTATTTATAGGGATAGCAGGGAAGGCTTTATGGAGATAGTCTCATTAAAATTGTTCATTTCAGGATGGAGAGCATTTGACAGGGGAAAATCTTGGAAAAGGAGAGAAAATAGCATAAGCAAATACACAGAGGTGGGGAAGTGCTTGGAAAATATCAAGTAATTTATTTTCTCAAAATATACGTTACAGAGCTGTGGATGTGGCTCAGTGGTTGAGTACTTACCTAGCATGTGTGAGACCCTAACCCTGGGGTAAATTATGGCATATGAGCATAGTTTAACTGTTTACTTATTCATTTCTTCAATCTTACTATTATTCTGAGGATTTAACCCAGGATCTTGCACATGCTAAATACCCACTTTACTATGATCTACATTCTCAGGCCATCAACAAATATATTTTGGATAACTATCCTATTTCAGCCTGTGTATTAGGTACTAGGTATACTCACAACAAAACTATACAGATATTACATATGCAGAGTTCACAGGAGGAGGATTTGGATAAGAGTGTAAAAAACACTGGATAAGAGTATAAAAAACACTGACAATAATCCAAAGAGTTTACACTTTGTCCTTAAGTTCCTCTCTATTCAAAGTGTGGTCTTTTTTATGTATTTTTCAGAGCTGAGAACCAAACTCAGAGCCTTGTAGTTGCCAGGCAAGTGCTCTTCCATTGAGCTAAATCCCAACACCAAAAGTGTGGTCTTTAGATCAACAGCATGGGCATATTTTGAAATTTATTAGAAATACAGAATCTCCACACTTGTAATCTGAGCTACTCAATGAGATTTCAGGAACGCAGTTTGAAGTCAGCAGGGGCAGAAAAGGCCGTGAGACTCTTATCTCCAATTCACCACGTGGCTAAATGTGGTAGAGTATTAGCTTTAAACAAAAGAGCTCAGGAACAGTGCTCAGTTCAATCCCCTTAGTTCAATCCCCCTGACCAACAAAAACAAAAACAGAATCTCAGGTCCTGCCCTAGCCACTGAATTATTCAATCTCAATTTGCATTTTTGGCATGATCTCTAGTAATTCTTATGCACCTCACTGTTAGAGGAACACAGATGTAGGCCACCCAGGCCAATAAGGAAGTAGGTAAGTGCATAGGGTACAAGTAAATAAGCATACAAGTAAGATAGCAATCTAATCAGTACTAGATTGGACCAAGAGGAAACTGAACACAAGCTCCTCTGAGAATGGGGAAGAGTTTGATTCAAGAGATACTGAGTCTTCAGTATGGAGATATAACTTCAGTTCCATTAGCTCATATTGGAAATATCACATAGTATTCAAAGTAAAAAAAAGCAAATCGAACATATAAGATGTTCTAAAAGATGTCAGTTATTTGTCTTAGACAAAGCTTATTTGAATGTCCATTTCCATTGATGTCCCAGGTCTAATCCTGAGTATTGCATTATCAATCTCTTAATCATGTAAATTCATATGAGTGATGATAGAAATTCTGGAAATTAGGGCAAATGTCCATATTCATAAAAAGCTTATTTGTACACTGGAAATAAAAGTATTGATTCATAGTGGTCAATTACCTCTCCACTAACTAGGCATTTTTTCTTTTATTACTAGTATTATTATTATTTTTTCTGAGACAGTGTTTTGATATGCTGTCTTTGCTTGTCTCAAACTCCTGGGCTCAAGTGATCCTCCTGCAGCAGCCTCTGGAAGAGCTAGCATTACAGGTACCCCATTGAATTACTTGAAATTACATGGAAAACTTTTAAATTTACTTTTTACTTTTTTTTTTTTTGCTGGTCCTGAGGTTTGAACTCAGGGTCTGGGCACTATCCCTGAGAGTCTTTTTCTCAAGGCTAGCACAGCTAGCCACAGCTAGCCACAGCTCCATTTCCTTCTTTTTCTGAGTAGTTTATTGGAGATAAGAGTCTCCTGGACTTTGCTGCCCAGGCTGGTTTTGAACTGTGATTCTCAGTACTCAGCCTCTTGAGTAGCTAGGATTACAGGTGTGAGACACCAGCAACTGGAAAATTTTGAAATTTTTTATGACTCACAATAAGCAGTGAATATACACAGAATTTTCAGGTGCCCTTCAGTAGTTTTGTTTAATGACAATAGTAATTATAATAGTAGTATGTTAGCACATGCAGGAAATTGACATTGATTTAATATTTATCAACTCATGTAGAGGTCTCACTTGAATTTCACCAACTTTTTCATGAATTTAAATATGTGTGTATATATATATATATATATATGCAGTTTATGAACTTTCATTCAATGTGTAGATTTGAGCGATTAACATAATCAGGGTTTAAACATCATAAAGAAACTTCTTAGCCTGGTACTAGTGGCTCATAGCTATCATCCAAGCTACTCAGAAAGCTGATATC